ACACATCAGTTTGCGACCATGGGCTTGCAGGAGGCCGCACGCGAGCGTGAGGCCGCCGGCCCCGCCCGGGATGACGTCTGCACTCTGAGCGGGCGTCTGTTCCTCTCGACGGCGGGGTCGCCGGGGTGTCGTTTGCGATCTGCGTCGTTGGGGCGTGCCATCGTCGGGCCTCTTCGTGGCGCGGCGGAGAACTCCATCGAGGTCCTTGCCCGCCCCCCCCAAGGGTGCGGGTTGCAAACCGCGCCCTTTGCAGACCACGCCCTTCGGAGTCGCCGATGTCCTTCCTCTGCGGTCGGTCCTCCTTGCAGTCGGTTGGGGGGTTGAGGTTCGAATCAGATTCGGCTCCAGTTCGACCCCAACTCGGCTCAAGTCCGACTCAAGTTTGGAAGCGAGCCGCGGGCAGCCTCGTAAGACGACTGCAGAACGCCCCTGGGGAACACAGCCGACCAACGCAACTTATAGATTTTCGCGTTCCTTGCGACACATCTTCGAGGCGCCAATATAGGATTTTGTGGACGAGGTTCAAGTATCATTAAGCGTAGCGTGATGTATCACTTCGCTGATGTGGCGCCACAGCCGTGCGCTGCAGCACGCGCTATTGTACAACATCGCTGTCGCATGCCGTAGATAGGACAGGGTGCAAATCTTGGGGTCGTTTTGGCGCTGTCGTGTGCTGTCTTGGCTCTTCGGCCCGCTTGGCTGTGGCCTGGGTGGACTTTGCCCCGTCTCGAAGGTCAGACGAGATGTTCGGTCGCTATTTGGGCCTTCTTGTTTATCGGCGACGCATGGCCAAACAGGATTGTATCGGGGCCCTCCTGAGCCGTTTGAAGGGGGGGCCTCTTGGGGTTGTTATCGGCCGCCTTGCAACCGTTTGGGGCCCTCGCTAGGCTCCTCGGGCCTCCCTCCCACGCCCCCAGGCGCATTGGTTTGAGCCATCCTGAGTCGACGGGCTGAGGAATTCCACATAAAAAACACAGAGTTGCCGCGACATTCTTATTGATCGTGGCCTTCCTGGGCGCCCCCCCCGGTCTTCTCCCCAGTGTTTCGGTAGCTTCTCGGGCCTCCCTCTGGCGATTCCTGGGGTCTTTTTGGGGCCAGTCGGGGTGCCTCTTGAGGCAGTTGTGGGCCCTCTTGGCGGCTCTGGTAGTTTCCCTTGCCAATGTTGGGCAGTGTGGGTATAAGGTTCCATCATCATCGTCGTCGTCACCATCATAGAGTTGGGTTTGGGCCCTCTTGGAGCCCTTTGGGGGCCCTTTTGGAGCCCTCTTGGAACCCTCTTGGGGCCCCCTTCGAGCCCTCTGGGGGCTCCCAGAAAGTTTCGAGGGACATCCGGGGGGGTGGAGGGGGAGGTGGAGGGGGGGTGGAGGGGGGGGAGGGGGAGGTGGAGGGGGTGGTGGAGGGGGGTGGTGGAGGGGTGGGTGGAAGGGAGTGGAGGGGTGGGTGGGGGGGTTGGGACGAACCCCAGGGGAGGGGCGAAAAGGGCGGGGGGGAGGAGGGGGGAGGGAGCAGGGGGCCACAGGGCCAAATGGAGCAGGGGAACGGCGGGCCACGACGAGGCAGGGCGGGAAAATCCTGCCCCCCTGGTAGTTGCGCATGGGGGGAGAGCGTGCCCCTTTGCTTCCTTCCATTCTTCCTTCCGGCCTTGCCTCCCTCCCTCTCTCCTCCTCGCCCCCCCCTTCTGTCGATGGTCCGCCCTGCCCCTCCTACTCCTGCCCCCCTCCCTCCACGACCCTTCGACACGCCCGACCTGTGTACCTAGGCGGTGCTCCCTACGGCAGTCCTGGTGGGCCAACGTACTGCGTCTGGGTAAACAGGTACAGCCTGTACCTGTAGAAGCAATTTGGCTTCTACAGGTACTGGCTGTACCTGTAGAAGCAGTTTGGGGTAAACAGGTAGAGGCTGTACCTGTAGAAGCCGTTGTCCCTTCAGGTACTCCCTCGGGGTAAACAGGTACAGGCTGCACCCGTTTACCCCACTCGTTTGGTGTGTGTTTTTTCGAAGGGAAGGGGGGTAAACAGGTGCAGGTCGTACCTGTAGAAGCAGTTTGGCTTCTACAGGTACTGGCTGTACCTGTAGAAGCAATTTGGGGTAAACAGGTTCTTGCTCTACCTGTAGATTTGGCTTGCCTCCCCCCCCCGTGTAGTGGTCGACCTGTAGAGGTTGACGGGTGTACCTGGCCCCCTCTGGTGGTCCATGTGGGTATGGCGAGCACGGGTTGGGGGGGCAGTCCAGGAGCCTCTGTGGGGTACCGAGCTGACCTTTGGCGCCCCCGTGCCCTGCTGCGCACGATTTTTTGGGGGGGTCCGAGCACCAAAATACGGGGATTGCTGAGTCCTCCTGCGGGCCTCTGGGGGCCGCCCGAAGTGCGCCTCGACTGGATCTCCTTTGCAGGCAATTCAAGTCGATCGAAACACCGACGAGGAGGGTGGGAGGAGGAGGAGGAGGAGGAGGAGGAGGGAGGGGGGGGGGAGGAGGAGGAGGAGGAGGAGGAGAGAGGAGGGAGGAGGAGGCGGAGGAAGAAAATGGAGGTCCCCTGGAAGTTACTAGAGGAGATTTAGTAAGAGAGGGAATGAGTTAGGAGGGAGGGGCAGGAGAAATGCGAAGAGGAGGACGGGGGAGGGGGGAGCGTAGATCTCCCGTCAGCTTCGTCTCGGGCATTCTCGGAAGCACTAGTAGAAGGAAATCTTCGAGGGGGGACAAGATGTGCTCGCGGGCGTCTCAGAATTCTGATATTTTGAAGGGGGGAAACGCACGGAAGAGGCGCAAAGCGTATGCAATGCTACCGGTTCTCACATGATGACAACAACGATGAACTTGGGCAACAAAATCTCTAGTGCCTGGGGTTTCCGTTGGAGAGGTGGCGGGTTCCCCCCACGATTGCGGTACGTGTTTTCGGCCATGGTTAATTTGTGAGCCCCCCCATCGATAACCTCGCCCTCCGAAGAAAGGCCGTTGTACGCAATGCTCCGAGCTCCGTCGGGGTACTCCTGTGGTCGATGGGTCAGGCGCCTGGCCGGGCGCTCGGGCCTGGGTCGCAGTCGTGGCCGATACGTGTTCGCCGCCCTTATCCCCTTCTTCCCCAGCCGCCTCGCCCCCCTTACATTCCCTTACATCCTCTCCCACTTCCTCCTCCATTTCCTTTTCTTTTTCTCCCTTCCACACCTTCTGTTGCCATTTTGGCTCAGCCCTTTACGGTTTATGGCCGATGCCCGGATTCATCGGGCTACATTGCAAAACAATATTGCACGGCCGGCGCAAGTCGACGCATGAGTCGTGCTCGGTCAAGCCGTCACCGATAGACCGTGCGACACGCCCTGTTCGGACGGTCGGTTTGGGGCGCCAAGCGGGCAGAAATTGCGTTTGCACGGCCGCAACCGGAGGGCGCCCTGATTGCATGCGGCGGAGAAGTATCACAGCGTCGCCGAACGTGCAAGCGCAACACGGCGCGATTCCAGACGGCGCGGCGCCCGAGACGCACAGGTCGTTCGGACGTCCACGCGAACCAGCAAAGAAGGTAAGTCACGCTGCCCAGCTTTCTTGCCCGCCCCACTTCAGGGGCTTCTGCAGTCGCTGCCCCCCCGTCGCTTCCAAACTCAAGTTCGACTCGAGTCGACGGACGTTCGCCCCATCACCGACGTCTTGGCGAGTGCGAGCTCGGCTTTACCGTCTCCCCTCTTTCTCTCCCCCTCGAGACGTAATGTCTGTATATATAATGTTCTCTCTCTCTCTCTCGTTCTCCTCTCTCTCTATTTATATATATATATATATATATGTATCTTTCTTCTCTCTCTCTACCTCTCGCTCCATGCGTTTTGCTGATTGCTCTGCAGACGTATACCCCTCCCTTCCTCTCTCTCTATCTCTTTCTCTCTCGCTCCCTCTCCCCCCGTGTGGACCCTGCTTTCCCCCTCGCCTGTCTTGGACCTTCCCTCCCCTCGGGGCCTGGGCCTTTTTCCCCCTTCCCCCCGCCCCCGCCGACGGCGGCAGACGGGTCACTCCGCTACGGCGGCAGGCAGGGGCAACGGCGGTTTTGTTGACCCAAAACAGAAGGGGGTCCAGCGAAAAGGGGGTGGTGCAATAGATCTGGTGCCATTGATTTGTGGGGTTCCAATAGATTCGGGGTGCGCAGTACATTCCAGTGCGTAAATGTATTGCTGGATTTTCGCGCGCAGTGCACGACGTGGTCTAGAATGCAATACAATTTTTCTGGCGCAGGACGTGTGCAATACACTTGCCCCAATCTACTGCACCATCCCCATTCAGCTGGACCCCGTTTGGGGTCGCGAGGAGATGCGGGGGGATAGGCACAGGGCGGGATGTATCGACCCCCGATCGCCCATTTATCGCCAGCAGAGGCCAGATAACCCCATCAAACCCAGGAACGTGCGGAGTCGCGATCGGGGGCCTATCGCCGATCTATCGGCGATGTATCGCCGATTCCTCGTTGATGTGCCCCCCCCTATGCCAGTCCCCCCCTATCGTTGCCCCTCAGACAAGGCTCCAGAAGAGACAGGACTGACTTGATCTGCGAATGGCTTGTCACTGGCACCGCTTGATGGAGAAAGTCGGCGGCACGCCCAGGAGGGGACATGAGAAGGAGCAGGCCTTCTCGGAAGGCGTCGGGGCTTCTCAGAAGCCCTCCGGCTTTCCGAGAAGGTTTCTCTGCGCCCTCGGCGCAGGTTTTAGAGACTTCCCCAGAAGGCCTGTGGAGGCCTGGAGCGAGCTTTGTGGGACGCCCCACACCCTCTCACTTCCCCCCTTGGGCTCGCCGCCGAGCATGAGATCCTCCTCCCCCCGACCGCCCTTCCCTCCTCCCTTTCCTCCTCCTCCTCATCCTCCTCATCCTCCTCTTCCTCCTCCTCCTTTTCCTTTTCCTCCTCCTCCTCGTCCGGAACGACGGCGGACAGGCGAGCAGCGCAGGAGCGGGCGCCCCCAAGTCGGCCAAGACAGGCGGCAGGGGCGGGGGCAGGGGCGGCAAGGACATGTCACGCGTCGTGGAGATGGTCGTGCGCCTGCTGCTCACCGCAACCCGAGAGCTCGCGGACGTGTCCAGCTCAGTGTTCCTCAGGTGAGACATCGCATTCGATCGAGGCCTCCCTGCCCAGCTCATCGTGGCGGGGAAGAGCTACGACGACCAGTCCAAAGACATGAAGGCCAAACAGGCCGCGGGCGAGGAGCAGGACTACAAGGGGAGAGGGCCGCCACACATCCATATATTTGCGGCAACGACGAAGTACTGCGCATCGACAGCGCCTACAGCGGGATCTACTGAGGGGGAGGAGGAGCTGCTGCTACAGGAGTCGAAGGACTGGCTGCAACAATACATTACCGAGGATATGTCCCTAAAGACGGTGGGTCGGGCAGTTCCGAATTTCAGATGCAAGCCCCTGAAGGAAAAACGGTGCATCATCACGATGAGGTCGGATATCAACAAGCCTCTGAGAGTGGAGGCCGCGAAGCTTATCGAGAAATCGATCGAGGCGTAAGGCGGGGAATGTATGATGGGGTCGGCTCCGAGGGGGCACCTCGAGAGGGAGCTTATGGCCTGGGTGAACAAGGCAAGAGAGTCTTGAGCACCAGTGTGCGGTTGCAGCAGCTGATTGAGAGGGGTGCGGTTTCGTCAGATGTTCTGAGCAGGACAGGGAGAAAAACATCATCGTACCGTGACCCTGGGCTGCCGCCGGTTCCGACAGTAGTGGTTGCTCGTAGTAAGCGGCAGGCTAGAGGGAGGGGTGGTGGTGGTCGGTCGGAGCGGGGGCGGGGGGGAAGGAGAGGAGCTCCCTGAGCCTGTGGGCTGGCCCCTTTGCGCGGGATGCGTGCCAGCAGGGGTGAGCGAAGGTCTCGCCCCATTATAGAGTGAGTGTGGGGTCCGTAGTGACCCGCCTCAGAGGCCTAGCGCGAGCCTTGTTGCAGAGCGTGCGTTCATGATGTGAAGCAGTGAGGCAGTTGCACAGTCAGGACTTCATGTGTCGTTCTAGTTCTAGTTCTAGTTCTAGTTCTAGTTATCCTCCTCCTCCTCCTCCTCCTCCTCCTCCTCCTCCTCCTCCTCCTCCTCCGCCTCCCCTCCTCCTCCTCCTCCTCCTCCTCCTTCTCCTCCTCCTCCTCTTCCTCCTCCTCCTCCTCCTCCTCCTCCTCCTCCTCCTCCTCCTCCTCTCCCTCCCCCTCCCCTTCCCCCTCCCCCCCCACCCCCACCCCACCCGCGGGGGCAGGCTGCCGGACGGCGCGTGCGTCTCGCTCCCCGCGCCCGCGCCCCTCGCCCCCGGGAGGCGGACGAGGTCGCAGAGGCGCAGGTGGCTGCGGCGGCCAGGCCTCCTCCCTGCCTTTTTCCTCCTCCTCGTTGCCCTTCTCCTCCTCGTCCTCCTCCTCCTCCTCCTCCTCCTCCTCGTCCTGCTCTCCTCCTCCTCCTCCTCCTCTCCTCCTCCTCCTCTCTTTCTCCTCCTCCCCCTCCTCCTCCTCTCTTACTCCTCCTCCTCCTCCTCCCTCCTCCTCCTCCTCTCCTCCGCCTCCTCCTCCTGCCCCCCCTCCTCCTCATCCTGCCCGCTGCCTCCTGCTCCCTCCTCCTCCTCCTCCTCCTTCTCCTCCTCCTCGTCCTCCTACTCCCTCCTCCTCCTCACCCTCTTTCTCCACCCCCTCCTCCTCCTCCTCCCTCCTCTCTCCTCCTCCTCCTCCTGCTGCTTCTCCCCCTCCCCTTCCTCCTCCTCCTCCTCCTCCTCCTCCTCCTCCTCCTCCTCCTCCTTCCTCCTCCTCCTCCTCCTCCTCCTCCTCCCCCTCCCTCCTCCTCCTCGTCCCCTCCTCCTCCTCCTCCTCCTCCTCCTCCTCCGCCTCTCCTCCTCCTCGCCTCCTCCTCCTCCTCCTCCTCCTCCCCCATCTCCTTCCTCCACCTCCTCTCCCCCGTCCTCCCCTCCGCCTCCTCCTCCTCCTCCTCCTTCTTCTCCTCCCCCTCCTCCTCCTCCTTCTCCTCCTCCTCCTCCTCCTCCTCTTCTGTCTCCCTCCTCCTCCTCTCCTCCTCCTCCTCTCCCCTCCTCCTCCTTCTCCTCCCTCCTCCTCCTCCTCCTCCTCCTCCTCTCCTCCTCCTCGTCCTCCTCCTCCTCCTCCTCCTCCTCCTCCTCCTCTTCCTCCTCCTCCTCCTCCTCCTCGTCCTTCTCCTCCTCCTCCTCCTCCTCCTCCTCCTCCTCCTCTCTCCTCCTCTCCTCCGCTCCTCCTCCTCCTCCTCCTCCTCCTTCTCCTCCTCCTCCTCCTCCTCGTCTTCTCCTCTCTCCTCCTCCCTCCTCCTCCTCCTCCTCCTGCTCCTCCTCCTCCTCCCTCCTCCTCCTCCTCTTCCTCCTCCTCCTCCCTCCTTGTCAGGGGCTGCCCAAAGCAGGTGCAAAACAGATCTTTCAACAAAAGTCACCATGTTCACGACATCTGACATCAGGTCCGCGCGAACGAACATCGGATCCAACGCAACACGAATCAAAGCCACATTCGGGTCCGCATCATCTTAGTTGCATCCGCTGAGGGTTCTCGCGTGCGCCTGCGCAAGAGTTCAAGCCATCATGTCCGGGCCCAAGATCGGCTGTTCAAAAATGGTGCCCTGAGGAATGGGGTCCTAAGGACGAGGTGCCGCAAACAATGTAAATCTACCGTTGGGCCCCTTCCTATCCTTCGGAACCCATCCATCAAGACCCCATCTTTGAACCACCGACACGCGGAAAAACTTTCGCCCTGGGGGTGCACTGCCGCGTCTGCCTCCCCCCCGCCGCCCCCCCCCCCGCACCGGCTCGTCGCCCCGTCGCGACCTCGGTCAGCAGCAACCTCAGGGGGGGGGCATGCGCTCGAGGGGGGGTGTGGGGGCGAGGTTCGGAGTTTCGCGCGCGTCTTCGTGGTTTTCCTGGTCTGCCCATCCCCAGGGTGCCTTCCGGTGGCTGCGCCTCGCCGAGGGGGGGCCCGGGCTTCCCAGGTTTTCCTCCCGAGGCGGCCGCCGCAGACCCTGCAAACCGAAAGCCACGGGGTAAAGTTCGAGGGGGGGGGGGGGACGGAGGAGGAGGCGACGAGATGAGACGGCGCCTCAAGATAGTCGAGACGGAAGGGGCCAGCCCAAGAGAGAGACATGACATTGCTCGAGCACGCGCGACTGGCGAAGAATCGAGACGCAGGTATGCGGCGTCACCTGGGGCTGCGCTGCTCACGCTGCCCTCCAGGCCGCGCCTCCCTCAAGACGAGGGAAGCCCACCGTGGCCACTCCCTGAGAGGTTTGTAACGTCACCTGGGGCTGCGCTGTTCGCGCCCCCCCCCAGGCCGCGCCTCCTTCAAGACGAGGGAAGACCACCGAAGCCACTCCCTCGACGCCGCGATCAGACAGCCCCACCTGCACGCGCCCCATGGAAGCTCAGGAACTCCTCGCACTCCTCGGGGGCGCGGTCGCCAGCGGCAGGGTACAATTGGACGAGGGGGAACGCGCGGGCAGCCTGCGCCACGAACGAGAAAGAGGCGAAGGATTACCGCAGGCGCCGAAAGCGCTCGGCGGCCCCGTGCCCGCCAGCGGCATAGGCGCACCCGCCAGCCGAGCAGCCGCCGCAGCTGCGACGACCTCATGCAGGTGATTTTTAGGGATGTGCGAGACGTGTATCCGTGAATGGTGAAATTGCTGTTTCTACGAGCTGTGGTGTAGTGGCAGTGGATGCATGTACCGCTCAAGGATTATATGATGCATCAGTCGGCCGGCGCCGTCTGGGTTCCCCCGTCTCGTTGATCAACTCGGGTAGGTGCAGGAGTTGTGGGTGTAAAGGACTTCTCAGGCTTAGCTTTGTTCCACGTGCGCGCGCTCGGTCTGTAGTAGTGAATGGGCGATTGCCCATGGAAAGGAAGTTTAAGGCAGCGTCACTTCTTGCGCGAGCGTGGGGATCTGCCGACTTGCCCTCTTTCCTGGACGGTTCGGCGTCGAGGGGGGCTGGGTCCAGGGGGGCCGTCGCGGGCTGGGCCATCGCCACCTATTGCTGAGGATCTTCTCGGGTTTCTCGACGTGGTGCACGGTTCGGTGTACAGGTCTTGCGAGGGACGTCGATGGCGCCGAGTTGTCGGCACTTGTACAGTTGTTGCGCCTTTCGTTGCCGCCCATCGCTGCACGCGCTCACACCAGTGCTGTGTTTCAAGAAGTCCACGGCATTCGGCCCGACCGACTCGGTTTCCGTTCCCGAGCGGCCTCGCCGAGGGTTGTGCGACTCCCGGGCACGATTGGTATGGCCCTGATGATCGCCAGTGGTTTCGCCGATGCCGAATTTTCGGCACTTGGGCGAGGAGGGGGCACGGGTAGTATTGCGCCTCGTGCGGTTGAGGCCTCGCGTGTGCTGCTCTCCAGAGGCGGGCGGCCACACAGGCTTGTGGTTTTGGATACGGAGCCGTGTTTGGGGGGCCAGTCGAATCCAGCTGTGGCTTGTTTGGCGTGAGGGACGAATTCATTTCGGCAATTGAAGAGCCTCACGCTTCCTTGCAGCAAGCCTGGGCAGTATGGGTTCAAGGCCCTGAGAAGACTCAAAGCAGGGCTCCTTCCAATGGAAGGGGGCAGGGTCTCGGCAGTCATTACATAATGCTAGTCGAGCGCGTAGCAGCGTGGAGCTCTGGCGGGCTCCTCAATGCGTCGGGAAAAGAGGAGGAG